CCGGCAGCGAGCATCCTCCCTGCACCCCAGCGGCTTTGCAGCATCCCGGAGGGAGAGCCCAGCTGGGCTCGGGCAAAGCCCAAGCATAAAAGCATCGAGAAGGAGCTTTTCCTGAGCACAATATTCACGCTGAAGCATCGGACGATCTCAGCACATGCAAACACATCCCTCCGTGGGCATCCGTGCGCACGGGTGGGGATGCACGGCCCCGCGTGCATCCCTGAGGGCACTGGTGTGCACGGGTCCCGCGGGGCTCGGGGGAAGGAGCCCCTCCGATCACCCGGCACGGATTCCCCACCCCACGCAGACCATGGAGCGAGATGGACCCGAACCCCAGAGCTGGCAGGGCCCTGGTGGGGGATCGGGGCTGGGTGAGCCAGCAAGAGCAGGCACTTCTCGGGGATTTATGCCATGCAGCACTTGTCAGCGCAGCTTTAGCACCCCATAAAGCAACGCCGAAGGCTGAACGTGCAGGGAGAGCACAAGGATGCCCCGACTGGCCAATTAATGAGCGAATTCGGGCTCAGGCCCTGCAAGGCTGCGTAAGAGAACGGCTGGGGGGGACGCAGCCGTGGGGAGGAGGGGGAAAGTGCAGGAGGAAGCTGGAATTAGGGGAGGGGTGCGTGCACCGCGACGTGGCGTGGCAGCTCCGGTGCAGGCAGCAGCTAATGCCATGTATGTTCATCCACAGGCAGCTGCCCGGCAGTGCACCGGGGGCTTTGCTGGCTGCACCCCACAGTCGGGACATTGGGACCCCTGCAAGCGACCGGCAGCAGCAAGGACGTGAGTGAAGAGGTGCCGTCGGGACGGCGTGAGGGTCAGGCTGCTCGCGAGAGACCCGGCACAAAGCGCGGCTCTCGGTGAGGATTTTTTGGAGCAGCCCGCGGGAACGGAGCGGGAGGTGGGGACCCCGTGAACCCCACGGCAGTGCTCAGGTCCCCCCAGAGCTCTTGCTGCTTTGGGAACATCACCTTAAAGGTCTTGCATGCGTTTTGCAGGACACAACCCTCTCTCCCGCCCGGGTGGGACCTCTTCTCCCCATTAGACACCAGCAGCGACACGGTTTTTCCTGCTCCTGCTGTCACCTGCCCTCGTTCAAGATGTCCCAGGGGGTCACCAGCCACTTCAATCCACGCTGACTCCAAGCTCCTGCCTGTCCCCACTGCCAGACCCCGTTAGAAATGTCCCCAAGTGCATGGCGGGATGGGGACTGCGGTTGTAGGGACGGCAGAAATTATTCGGGGAGGGAGTTGGCGCGGCGGTGACAGGGTCACCTCCCGGCCGTCCCGCGGGGACTCGGCCCCAGTTCTCACCGGGCTGGGACTGGGCTCACACCAGTTTCTCCCATTAACAGTTGACATGAGCGGATGCCGCGGGGTCCAGGTGACCAAGAAAAGCTGGAGGAAAGCCAAGGCTCGGCTTGAAGCATGGGCAGAACCCGGGCAGATGCCCTCCCCGGCCCAGGGCAAGCGCTTGCTGCCTCCCTCCCCATGTAAGCAGCCCCACGGCTGAAGCCAGACGTGCCCAGGGGGTCCCACCGGGGTCCCCCCCCACCTCAGTGCCGGACGGGGTGCACGGACCATGAGATGACATCCCAGGAAGCTGGAGGGACACAGAGCCGCTGCCACCGAGCCCGAGGCGTCGGGAGGACGAGGTCTGCAGCTTGATGAGGAGAAACGCAAAAAAACTCTCGTGCATTAAAGGTGTTCGAAGCCCCCAGCCGTGTCGCAGCCTGGTCTCCCTCGCGCCGCTGCTGTTCGAGCGGGATTTTGCCCCTTTTTCTTGCAGGACACCCCAAATCCATGCAGGACCTGGTGTCCAGGGTGTGTTTCCTTCCGAGTAAGTTGAGGTTTTATCTCGCCGGCCCTCTCCTTCCCCACAGCAGGAGGTGAGGGTGCCCCGAGGGGGTCCCAGCCCGGGAGGGGACCATGTCCCGTCCCTTTTGGGCTGGGGGAGGCAAGAGCAGCCTGGCTTTGGCCGGCGTGGGGACGGGCATGGCTCACCTCACCTGTGCTCCCTCTCCCTCTCCTCGTTTCCACCCCAGTCCAGGGAACTGGATCTGGCCCCGCTTTGCCGGTCCACAGGGCTCCCTGGGGCTGGCCCTGGTGGGGGACGGGTGGGACAGGTTGTGCAAATGGGACCTGGGAGGGACAAACACCCAGCCAGCACCACCAGCTCCCAGTGCGCTGACTGGTTGCTCCAGCCCCAGCTGGTGCCACTGGTCCCGAGACTCACTCCAGCCCTGCAGCCTCCATTTTTCTGTCTTTTAAGTCAAATTTCAAGGCAAAACCAGAGCCTGGAGACCTCAGGAGCAGACAGGGGACGATGCACAGTGTCACTGCAGGCGTTGGTGACTCCGGCTGCTCGCTCGGCATCGGGGTGCCGGAGCCGGTACGGGGTCCAGCCAGGGCTGCCGTGGCTCAGTCCCCTCCCCAGGGAGGGCTGCGGGGTCCCACCAGTGTTTCTGGTGACCAGTTAAACACAGCATGGGTGACACGGGGCTGGGCTGGCTCCCCTACGGATGTGTCGGAAGGACATCCTCGCCGAAATCCCTGCCTCCGAAGCCCCCCAGCACGCGCTCGCCCGCACGCCTGCCACCGCCAGCGACCCAGACGCCCAAATATTGAGCTATACATTAAATTACCCCGGGAAAAGGGCCGGGAGGGAGCCGGAGCACGTCGGAGGGAGCGTGGCAGTTTGTTATGCTAACTGAGGGGGGCTCCGCTCAGGGGACGTGTCGGAGAGGTCTGAAGAGCAAGGAGTTCACAGGCCCTCTCCTTTTGTCATGCTAAAAGTGCAACACAGAAAATATATACAGGCAGCTGCTCAATGGAGCGTGAAATACAAGTGATTTCTCCGGGAGCCCTGGGTAATGCGATGCAGCCCGGACAATGCCCATCGCCGCCCGCCGCCGGCTTTGTGCAAAATGGGAAACTTCTTGCGGGGGGAACGGGCACAGACCGGCTCCCGGCCCGCCAGCTGCCCCCCGAGGTGGCAAGTCCCTGAGCTGGTCCCTGGCCACGGTGCCCATGGGGTCCCCCAGCTGCGGGACCAGTGGGAGCTCGGTTCTCCAGGGATCAGCACTGGCTCGGTGGGTGCTGTGCTGGGCCTGGCACCCCCTCACTGGGCGCAGGGCTGGGGTGCCCCGTTAATTCAATGACTTTACAGCAGCACCGATGACGCTCGTCGCAGCAGCTCCCTTTGCTGATGCTAATTCGGGCATCTCTGCAGGAGCGGTGTAAAATCAGTCCTCAAAGGGGCTTTTGTGTCCTGGGGGAGGGCGGCTGGGCTGGGGGTGCTCCAAGCATCCATCTTCCACCTTTCCCTCCTTTTTTTGTGTCGCAGTGGAGCTGAAAGCCAACGCCGTGGGGGCTGCGAGCGTCCTGGGGCCCTGCATTCATTCCAGAGATGCGCAGCCACCGGTTTGTGCAGACCCCGCGGCCAGTGCTGCACCCCGGTGCGAGGGCTGGGGGGATCTGGGGGTTCTGGGGGGCCAGGACGCAGGCAGAGGTGATGGAGCAGGCTGCTTCCCCCGACCCTGGCTCGGCTCGCAGCCGGGGGCACCCAGCAGCCAGAAAGGGGGGGGGGGGTGGGGCCCCCCCCGAGCCTGGGTACCCCAACCCGCGGGGGATGCTCGGGGCGCGGGCGGAAGCGACATCTAGCGGGAAGCGCATCCCTTTGCCTGGAGACCGATATCCATGGCAACCCCTCGGGGCCACCAGCACCCTGCCTGGACCAGGGGCACCCACCAGCACCCACAGAGCCCCCACCAGGGTGAGTGGCTGCTCTGTGCAGCACAGGGGCTGTCACAGCCCTAAATAACCCCCAGCTCAGCTGAAATGCCTGCAGACCCCCGCCGCGACGCAGGTGCTGGCATCGTGGTGGGCCCTGAAGCCCCTCGCCCAGCGTCACCCTGGATGAGCTGCACCCAGCGGGCTCTGCCCTGGCCCCGTCCACCTTCGGCTCCTCCAGTGCTCACAGGGAGACGCAGCCGGGGGCAATGGGGGGATAAATGCAGGAGAGGAGCCTGTTCATCTTGCGAGGAAGACGTGGGCAAAGGGACGTGGCAGGCGAGATGGTTACAGCCTGCCCTGTGGCATCAGTGCTCCACGGAGGGCACCAGGGAGGGGAAGGGGCTCAGCCAGCCCCGGGCCCAGGGTGGAGGAAGGCGGGGAGGCCACGGGGATCGAGCCGCTGCTGCCCAAACCCCTGTACCCCCGAAATCCAGTGCCCAGGGGCTGCATGCAGGGATGGGTACCACAGAGCCTCAGCTGGAAGGGGCTCTTCGGGTGCAAATACACACCCACATGCCTGCGCATAGCTACATAGGGGGTGGTGGCATAGACGTGTATGATTTGATTTACATACATACACGCAGCCGCTGCTGGGGCTGTGCCGCTCTCCCGCACGGCGCAGCCGGGGCTCGAACCCGCGACCCCCGGGGCCGCCCGCGGACCACAGCTCCCAGGAGGCAGCGCCCGCGGAGCCGGGCTCCGCGGAGGGCCCGCCCCCGCCCAGTCCCGCCTCTCCCTTGGTCGAGGAGGTG